TGCCTTAGCATTCAGTTCCTACTTGCACAGCCTGAAAGGTAGACAGAGTTGAGAGCTTAAGGCCTAGTCAGGTCTTTTCTGAGCATGTGCACAGTCCTATACATGTGCATGGCCTTTTTGATTCCCACAAATATATTGGAGCTTTTTTCAGAGCCCCTACAGAACTCTCACTATCTTGATATTCTTTTTTAAGCTTTTAGGTTAGCTTTCTATTTGCCCCAACTGGTACGCTATGACCTCAGACAGCTGGGAAGTTATACTCCCTCTAAAAAATTTCAACAAATGCCCCCAGGAAAAAGGTTTCTTGCAGTAGGCAGTCTCCAAATCAGGTCAAAAAAAGACAGGCCTTGCAAGTGGGGTCCCTATCAGGAACTACCAGTCAGATCAAATAATGATAATTTCTTGGGCATGAGGGTTTCAAGGAGTTCCATCCCTGTACTGCCTCCTTTGGTGGCTGCCAAAGCTCCTGGTTTTCACCATGATTGCGAACTCTATTTTCAAGGTTACCATGGAACTGGAGAGAGGCGGATGGGAATGGGGCAAGTTAAAATGCCACAAAGCCTACTGTTCTTAGCAAGAATCAGCACTTTTTCCTGAATAAATTCTTCCTGCATAGCTGCAAGCCTTTGGTTAATTTCCAGAGTTCTGAAAAAGTTGATTCTATTTTTGCCAGTTTTCCCTTTGCTTTTATGGAGACAAGAATTGTCAAAGGTCCTTACTCCTCCAATTTCGCTGACATCATCTGCTATCTGGGACTTTTAGAATGAGATATTCTTAGAGACTAAGTAAACTGGAACCCAATCTATATTCTTTCTAGAAGACAATATTTTTCCAAAATAAAAACTGCCATTTTTGAACTTTTAAAATTAAACCATAAAGAATCAAGTTCCTTCAAGATCTCAAAACTGTCAATTCAGTTTCCAATTTTATATATCCTACATTCCTTAAAATTTCTTTATAACACTGTGCCTGAATTAATTTTGATACCATTTTTAAAACAAAAAAGGCAAATTTAATTAGTGGGTTAGCAGAGTAAGAGATAAAATGTGTATTAATTAAAAGTTTTAAGATATTCATCAAGGAATTTCATTAATGGAGGCTGTGTATGTAAGTATGAAAATATCCTCCGATCAGAAGTAATATCCTAATATAAATTCGCCAAGCTTTCATTTAATAAAAACTTGTTATTCATCTTATGTTCATAAGCACTGATTTCATTGTTTCATACATATGAAAGAAGAAACTGAACCAGTTAGGAATAATATGTCTTTTCAGGAATCTAATAAAAGCTGTGGGCTTTTTTCCTAAGAAAATGAACATGTATATATAATTCTGTTTACAATTTAATGGGTTCTTGGATACCCTGCAGCCTGTAAATTAAGAACCCCTACTGAAAAAAAATTATGATATTAATGGGAAAAATAGAAAACAGATATTCAAATAATTACAAGATCTCATCTTCGGTGGAGCAATGAGAATTTAAAATATTAAAACATACAAGTGGTCTCCAACTAACATACAATATTTTATTTTTAAAACTAAATTATAAATTATGTATTTAGAATTTATTACATGTTCTTATAAAATAATGGTTAAAGAGTATTAAACCGTAAGCCTCGTAAAAATAGGTGCTCTTCTGGGGCCCCTAGGTGGCTCAGCCGGTTGGGCAGCTGACTCTTGATTTCAGCTCAGGTCATGATCTCATGGTTTGTGAGTTCAAGCTCTGCATCAAGCTCTGCACTGGCAGGGAGAGCCTGTTTTGGATTCTCTCTCTCCCTCTCTCTCTACCCACCACCCCCACTCAGAATAAATAAATAAGTAAAACATAAATACATTTTCCAAGTAGGTACTCTTTTTACCTGTCTTTATATTATAATGATCTAAGTAAACAGCATATGTTAGGACCTCAGATGATGCTTTACAAAGCCTATTTTACTCAATAATGTATCTGAATACAAATTCACTAAAACAGGAAGAAATACTGAGGTAATGACAAAGATCAACTAAACCACAAAGACAAAAATTAAAAAATAAAATGGAAAAATAAAAAATAAAATAGATTTTAAATTATGTGTTACTTGAGAGACAGGATTAATTAGAACAGAATGTAACAGTAAATACAGATTTTTCTAGATATTCTTATTTGAATTTATGGATTCCTTTTAAAAAAATTTTTTTAAAGTTTTATTTACTTGTGAGAGAGAGATGGGAGGGTCAGAGAGAGAGGGAGACATAGAATCTGAAGCAGGCTCCAGGCTCTGAGCTGGCTGTCAGCACAGAGCCCAATGCGGGGCTCAAACCCACAAACCGTGAGATCATGACCTGAGCCAAAGTTGGATGCTTAACCAACTGAGCCACCCAGGAGCCCCTATGGATTCCTTTTTATGGTTTTTTTTTTTAATTTTTTAATGTTTTATTTATTTCTGAGAGAGAGAGAGAGAGAGAGAGACAGACAGACAGACAGACAGGCAGCATGAGCAGGGGAGGGTCATAGAGGGAGACACAGAATCTGAAACAGGCTCCAGGCTCTGAGCTGTCAGCACAGAGCCCGACGCGAGGCTCAAACCCACAAACCATGAGATCATGACCTGAGCCGAAGTCGGACACTTAACCGACTGAGCCACCCAGGCGCCCCTCCTTTTTATGGTGTTAAAGTTTACTTCAAAATGTGTTTCTCCTTAATGTAGCATCTCCTACACTTAGCCATGAATGAGGTCATTTTTGGGCCCTAAGAAGTTGTAAATGGGCTGAAAGGGCAAAGGGGATAAGATGTTTTGCCTATAGTGACTGGAAAGGAGTTAAAAGACATTGGGAGGGAGAAATTGGTCAAAGAGGTTTTATATAAATACTTACTATATATAACTATATATATAAAAATAAAATGTATCCAAGTTAAAGTAAGATAGCGTGAACATGAGCAATAAGAGGATATGGGAACCATTGCAAAAAAGAACAAAAGGAAAAACAGGTGGGGGGGTCGTGGAGATGGAATTTTGATTTTGCTTCTTGGTCATTGTAAGTCATTGTGCTAAACACGACAGAAAACTACACTTTGGTGCCATAAATCTAAAGGATAAGTTGCACATTTTCATCTGAATAACACAGAACTCTTACCAAAGTCAGGTAAAATCATGAGTAATATGCAGAATTCAACCAGTATCATTTAATATGTACAGGTTGTGATCTTACCATACAGGATCAATGAAATGACCTGGCCTTGTCTTCAGAATAGGGCTTGAAGACATTTATATAGCAAAAGCAGTGCCAAAACTTTGTCAGTTGACAGGCTCTCATACATTAGGTAAAGACCAGACAAACTCAGAGACAAGGACTACATGCCTACCTCTCCCTTTTTTTTTAAATTTGGCATTTGACTCCCTAACTAGGTGACCATAAAAAAAAAGGTTCAGCCTGGCAGTCTGAGTCTGTGGCGCCAGAAATCCCTGCTGAAGAAATCTGTCAATAAACAACCTGAGCCAACTGAGAAAGTGATCAATTGACTCCCTGAAAATATCTTTAGCCTGAAGAGATGTAGAATTAAGTATAACAATGAGCTAAATCAACAGAAAATTGGTATACTGAGTAACTGATTTAGACTTGTGATTTTAAACTAGACTCTTACTAAGTTCATCAACAGTAACAAAACATTTAAAGGAAATAAAGATTCAACATATCCATAGGTTTAATAAACGAGGTTTGTACAAAACTACCTCAAGACCCAGGAAGCTTTTATTAGTTGACAAGTGAGGTAAAGAAAATCAAATACAGCATACTAAACTTGAATATAGTTAAGTTTGAGGAAACATAACTAAGTTGTAAAGCCTACTTGAAGTAGATCTTAAATTCTGCTAAATTTATAAAATAACTTATATTAAAAAGTAATAATAGCCAATTCTAGAGTATGTGTCCATAAGATCTAAAACCTCTGAATCGTACCATAACGTCTTAAGGATTAAAGCATTTTTTAAAAAATCAGTGATTCCTGTAACAACTTCTAAGACTCTTCTATAATCAGTACATGGGTAGTAATAATTCAAAGTGTTAAAAGAGTTCTTAAAAGTAATGATCCTGGAAAAAGACCTACAGAAACAAATTAACTTGGAGCTCACAATATGTGGGATTCTACTTTCAAAGTTAAGATAACTGGATAAAATATAAATAGGCTACTCTGCCTTAGCTTTTCCAACTTCAACTATCAACTGCATTGTTCTTGAGATAAAAAAAAAAAAAGACTAAAGAAGGCTATGTCTTATACTGGAGTGTTAAGTCTGAATTTAGAAGACAGGCTAGTTAGAAAAATAAATATAATCAATTGTGCCAGCTGAAGTATGAGCACATGTGAAATGTGGCTATGTGAAACTAGGACTTAAGCTGTATAAAACTTTAAAATGCTTACATACTGTTTTAAAAGATTTGCATATATCAAGGTCTTAAAATCAAATTTTAAGTCCTGCAAGTCCTAACAGTACTGATCTTTCAAATTTTCACATATACACCCTAAGTGACTTAACCCAAATGTGATATCGGAGTCTTTTAGTTCAATTAGACCATAATCCTAAAGGTGGGAAGTTATGGATTTGGAAGGAATTTTTAGGTTCTTCTGAATCTGCAATTATCATTATCTTTCTCATTATTTCCCCTCCCTCCCTTCCCATCCCTTGTTCCATATCACAGGAATCAAAATTAAACCCTAAAAAATATGTGTATACATATATCATATATATATCATATATATATCCAGATTTCACTGATCATGGTCAAAAATCATAGGCCTAGAGCAATCCTATATGGCTTTATAACTGTAAAGGATTCAAGCTATCTTTCAAATACCACGTTTTAGAATTGATAGACTAGACTGGAATTTAAACTGTCTCCACCCACTTCCCACTACATCATACCCACCACTTCTCCACCCCCAGATGAAGGTTAGGTTGATAAATGGATTTTGGAGATGAAATAAAGCCAGACATCAAATAACTTACTTGAAATCCATCTCTTACCTTCTGTACTTAACCCTGGACTTGATGTGAACTTGGCTACATCAACAATTTTTACAGCAAACTGCTGCCCAGTTTCTCTGTTGATACATCGTCGTACAACACTGAAGGGACCCCTTAAAAAAAAAAAGAGAAAAGAAAAACACCAAGTTTAATTCAATGATTTTCAGTCCCTGTTTCCCATCAACATATTACTGATGTTTCATTGTCTACTATGGCCGTACTTTAAGATCAAATTTAAGTAATGTAAATTTTGAACATATTTTTCTATAATCCATGAGGTAAATAATTCATAAGTTAGAAGTTACTAAGACAGAATAGAACACAAATTTGCATTTCAAAATGACTTATTAAAATTCTAACTAGCTTTCTTATACCCAAGGCAAATCATCTTTGTAATATTCTATACATATTATCAACACCTTAAACAAAATAAGAAATCACAGTGGTAGTGCACACAGCTTTCACCTTTTGAAGGAGAAACTTAAGTCATCCTTGACACCTTCCCTCTCATCTTACCCACCACCTATCTAATCTTCACTAACAAATCCTACGAAATTTCTGTCAAATCTTTCTCAATCCTGTCCACCTCTCTCCATGTATCATACCCTAGTCTAAGCTACTACCATCTTCTAGCAGGACTACTAAAAAACTGGTTTTCTCCCATTCACTCTTGCAGTCATGTTTTAAAAATGAAAATCTGATCTTATGTTTCTGGCTAAAATCTCAGAGAAAGAAGGTACTTTCAACGCATAATATTTAGTTAAGAACCAAAACACATAAATAATTCCCGAATTGGAAAACACACCCTAGTAGAATCAGGTCATAAGATTTAAAGAGACACTTCACAAAGAGAAAGCCCTGCATGACTCCTGTCCAACAACCTTTCCAGTCTCACGTGAAGTCACAGAGAAATCTATCTTCCTTAAACTTCAAATTAGAATTGTTCTAAATTGCCACTGGAAAGGAAGTAATTTCTACCAGGAGAGCCACTGACCCAGTCATTTGAGTCATCCAGCTCTCTCCCTAAATTGGTGGCTCTCAATACTGCCCATACAATTGAATCAACTGGGATGAGTGTTAAATATACACAGTTCCTTGTGATTAATAGTCATCAAATAAGTATCTGAACAAAAGGTAATCTAAAGATTCATTTGCACATGCTTGAATTGACTACTGAATAATAAAGAAGGCAACAGCAATATACTATAGCTTATTTGAAGACGAGTGTGGTTGAAGTCATTAAATACACATACACATATACACATGTGTATTCCCACCCGCCCTTGCTCAGGAAAAATAATACTCTCACTGGTCACTTACACTGGGACACTTGTGATACTGCTCACCTTAAAGGAAGTTTGTCTTCCTCTCAATTAGGGGACAAGGAAAAGAATGTCATCTAACTCAGACTCAAACATTTCTCTAACATCATATGAATTAGTTGATTTCACCATGCCATCATCTGGACATTAATTACACCACAGCCTCAAATCTCTCTCTTCAAGCAATCTAGCAAAGCTCAACTGGAAGGGAAAAAATGGTAATAATGGGCCTTTCAGAACTCTGAAGAAAGAGGACCTTTTTTGATAACCACTCAAAACTGTTCAAAGATTTTCCTCTAAGAGAAGACAATGTAACAGTGAGGCAGGACTCCCACAAATGTTTTCATTCTCAATCTGGATGTCTTACTTGTGATTACTTATCCTGACAACAGCAAGCAATTTCAGGAAATGCTTAATGTAATTGGTTTTTGTCCACACATAACCCCTTGGGATTCTATTTATATATACATTTGTGTTGTGTGCTTCAATTCACTACATCTTTGTGGAAGCTTTCCAAGATCTGTATGTGGGATTATTCGTGGACAATAGAGTGTTCTTTGTTTTTTTCTTTTACTTTTTCCTGTTTGAACAAAGATGAGGAAGAAAGCATAGCTTCTTTTCCCATCCTTTCAGTAATAATAAAATGAAGAAAGCTAGAGAGAAAGGAAGAAAAGGAAATAGGGGGGAAAAAAACCCAGTAAGGTGTCTAAATCTGTGAATAAAAATTTAAAAAAACTGAATCCTCAATTTTCTAGGCTAATTTTATAATGTGAGGCCAAGGAAAATGAGTTTACTTATGAACTGCTGAAGACCTGAAGACAGGTCAAAAGTAAAGCATTTCAAGTGTCTGTCCCTCAATGGTACCTAGGGAATTAACAAAGATGAATCAAATTTAGTACACAAAAAAGATTGAAACAGACCTGAAGTTTTTCTTATGATTTAATCCATCAACTAGAAACTCAGTGGCAACTGATAAAAATTTAAATGAGTATACACTGTCTATAATTGCAGCAGGATCTGAGTACATTTGGTTGAGAGCTTCAAGACAGGCAGGTTATGAAATACTCAGGCTTAGTTTCCCATCTTAAAAAAGAGAGGGTGTAGTAAAGTATGTGTAATATAGCAAATGTTTTATACTTATTATACTTGAATGATATTTTAAGGAATAGCAAAAGTTCAGGAGGCCTAGATCCGGCCATCATCTAGCCTAAACTCCTTGAAGCTTGAAATTTCATCCTTGGCGTTTAAGTCTATGGTACAGCTGATTCTTGAGTATTTATGTGGGGGGAAACACTGACATCGTTGTAGACAACTATCTTTCTCCTGTTTCTACTAATCCTGGCCAGCATGTTAATTACAATGAAATAACTGATAGCATTTCACATTTGATAAAATAGACGTTCTTTATTCAACTCTTTCAGAACAATGAATTTTGACAGGGATTGTGGCACAAGGCTCCATATGAGGCAGGTGGTGGCTTGCAGAATTCTGTTTTTAAGTAAAAGGTCAATTAAACCAGAGTATGTTGTAAGTGAATATTGCTATGCCAAGGCCTAAGGTTTTGAAAAGAATGCAGCTGTGTCTCTATGCAGACAGAGTCCTCTCCTCTGGTTTTCATTTATCTGAAAAAAGGTTGAGTCTAGGAAATGAGCAATTTTGATACCAAAAGTAAATCCATCCAAAAAGGAGACCAGAATTAAGTGAAATCAGGCTAGAATATAGTATGTCGGTTTCCAGGATAATAGGAATAGGATCGATTTAACACAATGCATGTAATTTATCTTCCTCCCCAAAGTCCTCTCAAATGATACCAAAGGGGTTATCATTTTTAAAAAAGGACTGGGAGAAATGAGAGGAGACCATAGTAATGATCAAATTTGGGGAAGCATAAAAGCAGATAGAGTAGTAACTGACTTAGCAGTGTCAGGAAAGCTGAAAGACAAAGAGAAAAGAGGGACCGTTCAAAACCAAACCCATTTATTTACACTCCAGAATCCTCAAGAAGCTCTTGAGCTGGCAGTACCACATAACCCTGGAACTAGAGGTTAAGAGAGTGGGGCTACAAGAACAAGTTTTGAATGACATGAAATCTCTAGACAAGCAGTTACAGTCGTAGATCCCCCTCCACACCCATACTCCACCCCACAGTGCAACTGCACTATGCCATACTATCAGAGGCCCATTCTCTAGAGAAGGTAGAGCACAGGGTCTGAGAACAGGGCCGGGGGGGGGGGGGGGGGGGGGGGGGGGGCAGGCGAAAACATNATTTCTCGAGGAAGGAAGGCACAGGGCCCATGAAAACGGGGGCGGGGGGGGGGGGGGAGCGTGGAACGCCGTAAGGCAGTTGAAGAAGTGGGTACTAGTAAGTGGAAACCCAGGGGATTGAATGATCACACAAACTGAATCAGGTCCAGCCCCTTTCTCCTTAACAAGGGGGAATGTTAAAAGCTAGAACTTTATTCTTCAGGTAGAAGAATGATTTCCTGTTGTGTTATCTGACCAGCCCAGAAGGAAAGATCTATAGATGACTTGCACTGCTCAACAAGCTCCGCCCACAAATGCAGAGCTCTCAATCAGCTTTCAGTTCCTCTCCTGCAGGGCTTCCAACCTCAGCACTCCTGGCATTTTGGCCTGGATAGTTCTTTGTTGTTAGAAGATGTTCCCTGCATTGCAGGATGTTTAACGGCAATCTCAGCAGCACCCCTTTCACCCAGTTTTGACATCCAAAAATGTCTCCAGACATCATCTGGAGAATAGTCTCTAATTTGGAAGACAGAAATCTCAAAATGAACAGAAAGAGCAACCTAAAGGAAGCAGACTAAACACGAAAGAAAACTTCAAACTACCATTAATATCCTGAGACATTATAGCTATCAAACAAAAACAGAATTTTCAGAAAATATAAAAAGGGCTCTTGAAAAATAAACACCTTGAGAAAATTAAAACTCAACAGAAGGGCTAGAAGATAAAGCTGAGGAAATACCCCAAAAAGTAAAGCAAAAAGAACAAAAGAAACAGAGGGGAAGAACTCAAAAGAATAATCCAAGAAAATTTCCTAGAACTTAAACCATGAGTTGTCCACATTTAAAGAACCCATCAACTACTCAGCAAAATACAGAAGACCCACATCCGCACATGCCATCTGTGGAATTTAAGAGCACTGTGGGCCAGATTTTCAGATTTCCAGAAGAGGAGGGAAGGGTGTGCTGGGAGAGGAGGATGATATGGTTTACACACCAAGATCAGGAACCACAATGGCTTCTGGTTTCTCAGTGGCAACATGAAAAGCAAGAAGACGACAGAGTTAACACCTTCAAAGTCATGAAGGAAATTTCTAACTTTTAATTCTATATCCAGCCAGAAAAATCAATGATCATAAGGATGCTTTCAGACATGAAAGAGCTCAATAAATTACTTGCAGTGTATACTTCGTGAAGAAATTATTTTAAGATATATTTGCCCAAGAGACTAGATCAGTAAGAAGGGCACCAAATGATGGCAAACAGGAGATCCAACCAACACAGAAGATACATAAAAGGAATCCACAGGGGAGTAACGAAGGGACCTCAGGCTGACAGTGGGGTATCAAGGAGAGGTTAACCAGTCCAGACTGGGAGCGGTCAGAATTTCCACTGCCACCCTTTTCAATCTCAAAACAGAAGGACCAGGTGTGCTGGGCCCATTCTTCTGTTTTGCTTCTTCCAGCCAGGGGCTGGTAAGATTCCTGCTCTTCTCTGTTGCCTGAATCAGCAGAAGATACTCTTTTTGCTCCACAGCAGTGTTCTCCTTTG